CCACTTATTTTCTATATCGTCGAAAGTTTCCCTCCTCTAGGTATATTTTCTCCTAGAAAGAGTCTTCACTTCTCACCTCATTCAACTCGATGAAAGCAACATAACGGTTAAAGTGGTCGTCGTCTAAACAAGCGTCAAACAAAGCATTACACTGACAAATTTGAATAATACTTAGTCACCCTTATCTATCAAAAACTTCAAACTTCAAGCTTCAAACTTCTACGTTTATTTCCGAAGCCGAAAAATATATCTTTCGCTGCTCCATGCTGGGCGTTTTTAGTGAATTTTGAGCCTTAAACTGAAGTTAATTTCAACTCTGTTCCATCTGAATAGGCTAAGTGGAGGGACTATTCATGTCACTGTGTCATCTATGATAGTTTCTTATAAACCCTAATGTCACTCACTCCCCGTGTTTCAGACTAGTATACTGGGCACAGACTGAGAACGGCGAAATCGAGAAGAGTGAAAGTGTCATCAAGGTTGCCTCAATGGCTGACCCAGAGAGGGTAAGTGAAATAACTCGCGTGACTGGGGCGCCGATATCACTGAGCCTCGCGGTGACTGATGACGTCAATGCTGGCGGAAATACCGCAGGTCGGCTTTGTTGGCTACAGCGCCGCCAGTTGATGCCTTACTCGCGCACTGAAATCTACTGTGCCCAGTTGGAAACTTCCGGCAGAGCTGTTCGCTCAAAACGACTCCTTAAGAGCTTCAACGCGAATGAAGAACCCTCTTACGGGCTCATTCAGGATGACGACACTATCCTTTGGACAAGCCTTTATCGGTCAGTCGATTGAATGCAAAATCGTTTCCGTAGTGATTCACAGAGATTTGTCCAGTTAGTCATGATGGAGTGTTCGTGAGTTGAGGCCACCCGCTAGTCAAGTAGTTTGGGCACTTCATACTGTTGAATTCTATTTCAAGAGAATTGTCATCTTCTCACATCCTTGTCCGATGATGGCGTTGAGTAAAGATTAAAGCTCCATTTTGCTTTCTCAAAACTTTTTTGCTTCGCTGGATTTTGCTTAGATCACTGCGTTAACAGTTGCTACCAAAATTATAATATGCCTAACACTTGTAGCAGCGTCCGTTTAAAGTGGTTATTGTTTTAGAAAAGTTTACCGATCCCTCAATCCATCCGCTTCAATCAACGTAAAGGGCGTTTGTTGCTCCAACGGGTTCCAGTCTATGGCCATCCGCAACATCTGCAAGCGTTGTAAGTATCCGAACAAATGTCCTCTCCAGGATTGCTCTTAACTTGACCTGCCTCGAATAATCATGTCCGTGGTTCCCTTCAGCGATGACAAATGCCTGCAGCTATGACAATGGTCGGTGCCGCTACTTCTGCCTTCCTGGGGGACGTGAGATGGCACACGTGTGCAGGTGTCCCGATGACCAGCCCAACTGCATTACGGAACATGCGAATTCGCGTTTAGTGGACTACACGTATTCCTGAACAACCTCTCTACCCCATGCATAGTCTGTCGCCGAGTGAAAAAGCCATTTGAATAAACCATTCATTTATTCTTTTCTCTATGAATGTATTTGAGTTTAAAAATTTTCTAACACCTCCCACCTATCACCCCTCTGCAACGCATTATCAGTTTTACTG